AATTAAAGCTGTTCATGAATGCTTTAAGATAGAGCACTTTTCAAATAGCTGGGTGACTAGGGTCTCGAGATATAGACCAAAACGTGGACCTGGGTAACCTTGGGTGTATTTGTTTAATATGGGTATCAAATGAAAGCTGTTCATGAATGCTTTAAGATTGAGCACTTTTCATATAGCTGGGTGACTTGGGTCACGAGATACAGACCAAAACGTGGACCCGGGTAAACTTAGGCTGTATTTGTTTAATATCGGCATAAAATGAAAGCTGTTATGTCAAAAGTATGCGGAAGCAAATAAAAAAAAAATTAAAAAATTCATGAATACCGTTTTAGTGAAAAATAAAATTGAGTAATGCGGACAGTTCTTTAATCTTCTTTAATATAAAAATTAATATAAAAATAAGTAGGGTTTTCCTTCCTGACGCTATAACTCCAGAACGCACGAACCGATTTTCACGGTTTTGCATTCGTTGGAGGTTTATAGCTAGGAAAATTCAGGAAAAATTTCAATAGAAAAGTATATGGTGTGTGAGTATCCCCCACGAAAATAAGTATGTTTCATTTAAAGTAGATGGTGCCATTGTTTAACAGCTATTCATTGTACTTTGCTCAGTTAATTTCATGTGACACTAGCGAATACCCGGCGTGCTTCGCTGCGCCTTAAAAGTAATTTTGTTTTGTTACTCCCTCTCACCACATTTGAAAATATTATTTAATATTGCTGTACATATTTGTATAGTAGGGAGATTTTTTCAAATTATATAAATATACGTTATTTGAATATTGAATCAATACACGTTTGAGGAAAGGGTGCGATAGTAGACTCCAGTTATAAGATTATAAATTAAATTTCCAAGAGAAAGTCGGTTCTTTACATATTTTCTAATTACCTTCGAAAATATATTAACTCAAAAAAAAAATAAACAATGCTTCATAGATCGATTTTTTTAAATCTAACTTCATAAAGTTCTTTAAAAATATTTTGTAAATGAGGCCATAAGAGCTTAGGGGGAGAGTTACAACACAAAAATACATTTAAGGCGCAGCGAAGCACGCCGGGTAATTGCTAGTAGTCTTATATTGTGCTTAATTAAGGTATTCATATGTAATTATATTACAGTCAAGCCTGCCTATACAAATACATTCATAAGAAAGACTTTCTTCGACCTACTTACTACGTCTTTTATTTGACGAGATTAAACAAATTGTTTATCTGCAAATAATTGTATACATATATTAAATTATTGAAATAGTGTCGTAATCCAAAATATCTTCTATGTTGTGTAAAACTTGAATTTCATAGCTGTATCGATTACGATCTTTGTCTATTATTGGAAAGTTCATGAGTCAAGCTATCTGCTTCACCATCTTAATAATTCTTCATGCAAAACGTTTAATATGGAATCACCGCATTCATGCACATATGTTTAGCTATACGAAAATTTTCAGAACAAATATGGAAATCTATTACTTAAGTCATCTCGGCCTTGATGTTTTCTCATAACATCTGCCAGTTATTGTTTATTTGGGTTTGGCTGTACATGAGTGTACATTAGACCATATCAGAAGAAAGTTCAAATAGTTCCAGAAATGTAAATACGCTGCTTTGTGGACGCTTTATAAACTAGTTAAATCAAGTTTTTTAAAACTGAACAAAAATGCTGCAAATCTTTGCAATCTTTATTCCTTTATTATTAATATCACTAAAATAAAATCCACCGACCTAGTGCCTATTAAAAAAATATATATCAAAAAACTCCAATTGAGCTATTTTACAAAGCCTTAAGTAAACGTGTTGAAATTGAATTGGAACTTTATGCCTTTATATTTTTTATATAATTATGCTGCGATAAACACGATTGTTCCTTTTTTATCTTGAGGCTATGACGGACGTTTCTATGTCGTCAAACTAATCTGTAAGCCAACTTTCAAACAAGGCGACAGATATGTTAGTTGGGTTATTAATTTTTTTCCCTTCCGAATTGTGGACCGCACTGCTCTAATGTTTTGTTTGCGTGTAAGCAAAGATCTATGATAGGAGTTTTTCACTGGTCATCATTAATATTTTTAGCACGCTATAACTGGCAATTGCGATTACAAAAGAGCGCAAAATTAATATTGAATATATTAATAGCTTAGCACCATTTTTAAGGTAAGAGCACTCATAAATAAATTCGTCACACGAGTTGAAATATTTTTGCACAAACAAAGGCTCCAATTTAAAAGTATATGTAGGTGGCGCCAGGGTCGAGATATTTTGAAAATCATATACATATATGGTCCGATTTGGTTCGAATTGGGCGTATGTAGTTTAAACATAATAAATCATAGATTTTCAAAAAATTTGCACCGAATTGGCGCTGAAGTAAAAATATAAAGTATATTTGCCATAAAACTTATGTTTCTTTTGCGTTAAAAATTCATTTTAAAGCACGTATGGAAATACCCTTAAGTACTTGGGTCCACCTCACATTCCCTGAGATTCCTGGCAAAAAGGCTCAAAAAACAGTATTTTTGCCAATATCTCGAAAGTCATTTTTTGAAAAACTAAATGGATTCATATTCCAATTCAGTGGTCTCAAATTATTCTACAAAGTTAACTCAGTTTTTAAATTTTTATCAAATCGACTTATGATAACCTAGATCGCTCGAATAGCCCTGTGCCCTAGGCCTTGCTTGCGGTCATATTCATACATAGTTACTAAGTTAGTTTATATTTTTCCAATTTGCAAGTCAATGTGTACTATTTACAGTCACGTGTACAATAATATACGTAAATATATACATATGTATGTATGTATGTAGATATTTGTATTTATGTTAATGTGTAAAATCATTTAGAAGATCTGAATTAATTAACCAAAGCAACAGGTTTTTTTTCGTACATTCATTGTAGCGTGTAATAAAGTTGGAATAGAGTGCAATTCACACCAAAGAGCAACAACAATGGAAACAATCGTGCCAACAATAACTCAACTGGTTTTCTTCACATCAATGTGGAATTAAAAAGATTTGTACAATTTTGAGTGGGTGTAATTTTAGTTGAAATTTTTTGGCTGTACCAAACACAACTCGCAGAATATTAAATAAAATGTGTAAAATTTTTACGACATTTGTGTGTTTATTATGTTTGCTGCTTAATTTATATGTCACAAGTATAGTAAGTAAAAATAAAATAAAAAATTTGTATGCGGCTGGAAAATTGATTTTGTTTTATATATATATATTTATAAAACAATTAAAACCGGTTTACTTTTATAGTATTGTCTATGCTTGGCATCGGAGCCGCCAACTTGTCTAACAAATGTGAGTTGATCTTTTTTGAATGCGTAGAAAGAAAAAGCTAGTAATTTATTTATTTTTGCATCTAGTTGGAGGAGGAAGATGCCAAGGAGATTTTGGATTATGTGCTGAGTAAATATGAAGAGGTTGACATGAAAATTACCGGCGAACCTTTGGCGTAAGTAAAATGAGATGAAGAAAAATTCTGTAGTAATGAGAAGAACATATGAGCCGCAAAAATTTCCTTCCTAACAATTGATGGCTAAGCTAGACCGATAAGGACTGGTTTGGAATTATTGGACTTTGTTAAAAGAAGTGCTAATAAATAATAGGTCCATAGGGGAGAGCGAAATATAATGGGTACTATAGTTAACGGCTTGTATTTCTTCTGCTATTGTAGGCCAATCGGCCGGCAAATAGCTTCCAGAAGAGGGCCAAAGTTTCAAAATGTGGTAACATTTAATAAATATAAAAAATAATAAAATATAAAAAATTTAATGTTTTCATAAAATGTAAGACAAAATTTAATGATTTTTTTAAAGATTTAATGGAGTGCCTTTGTTGTACAAGGTTAAAAAAAAAAAACTTTGAAGAATAAATAGGTATGTATATAGTGCTTATCATAACTTTACAACGCTCACATAGTTACGAGATTTGATTATTTAGTTTATAATTTTTTAATTTTAAATTCATGGACTGTTACAAAAATCGATTGGTCTGCAAACTTGGATATTCAAACCATTCCCAAAAAATTTAATTAAAAATCTCGAAATTTTTACGACTTTTGTTGATTTTTTTTAAAGGTTGCAAAAACATTGAAACTTATGTTTTTATAAAATTAGTTAAAAATAAAAAAAATAATATAAATCATCAAATCTTGTAAATATGTGAACTTACTATAGCTATCATCAGCAGCCATATAGCAAGGATTAATTCTTTTAGAGTTTTCAAAATTGTACAAAATTTGTACAAAAAGTAACGGAAATTGCTATACGTAAGCTAATTCTCCACATCCAGTTTTTTTTATTACAAAAAAGGTATATGAAGAGAGCTTAAAGATGATTAGGGATTTTGAAAAATTAAGATGCCATGAAAAATCTCTAAATATCTAGGAAAAATAACGAAAGCGCCAAAAATTCCAATACATAAGAAATCTGATAAATAATTTAGTGAAAAAGTTCGAAAAAGTTCCAAAAAAATTCCAAATGCTCCCAAAAATGTGCCGAAATTTTTGAGTACTTCCAATAAAATGCGAGAAGATGCTAACAACTCCCGAAACCCCTTTTCTTCTTTAGATGATTGAAGACAAGAGAACATACATACATTTGTTATTTTTCAAAAACTACTTTAAGATGCCACAAAGAGATTTGATATGAAAATTTTAATTCTTTCTAGGGTCCGCGGCAAACGTATTTCATCTGGCGGCACTGAAGAGTTTCACATTGTCTTTCATTACGTTGACAACACTCCCGGCGATATAATACAAAATTGCGTTTTTGTTGTTGTACATGTACCGAATTCATGTGAAACGATAAGCACAGTATGCAATACATTCTTACAGTCTACGCCACGTCCACTTTTGCAGCGAGAAGACCTAACTGTTTGCGAGGATGGGGTAGAGCCAACTAGGGCGAGTGAAGTAACCGAAGAAACAGCACAAAAGCGATCAAGTGAAATTTAGCATAAGTTTAGTATAAAGGATGCACAAGACGTTGTAAAGGTCTTAAAGTCGTAAAAGTTTTCAACGTAAGATAACGGCAAAAATCTTTTGGGGAACTTTCCCTTAATTACACACCTGTCTTGGACAATTAGAATAACTCTAGTTCCCGAAGATATGCTCTCGAAAAGACACTAGTAAAATTAAAACGTTGATACTGAACGATTTACGCATTGTCATGGGTTAGAACTTGTTACCAGAGGGTTCCTGTGGTTGCTAATTAGGAACCTGAAGTCAGTTTTTCGAAATTCAAAATGGCGGATCCGAAATGGAGGTCCATTTAAAAAAAAAAATGATTGGATTTATTCGAAACCCGGCACTCGAGAGTTTTTATGGTCGCCGATTACGAATCTGAAGCTACTTTTTTAAATTCAATATGGCGGATCCAATATGGCGATCAAATTAAAAAAAAGTACTAANTCTAGTTCCCGAAGATATGCTCTCGAAAAGACACTAGTAAAATTAAAACGTTGATACTGAACGATTTACGCATTGTCATGGGTTAGAACTTGTTACCAGAGGGTTCCTGTGGTTGCTAATTAGGAACCTGAAGTCAGTTTTTCGAAATTCAAAATGGCGGATCCGAAATGGAGGTCCATTTAAAAAAAAAAATGATTGGATTTATTCGAAACCCGGCACTCGAGAGTTTTTATGGTCGCCGATTACGAATCTGAAGCTACTTTTTTAAATTCAATATGGCGGATCCAATATGGCGATCAAATTAAAAAA